ACAGTTTGTCATTGTTATTTTGGTTTGAACCAAGTATAAAGTCAATCCGATGAAAGAAAGTGTGCAATTTGTTGAAGCAGAATAAAATTATAAATATCTAAAAATTATAAAAACCAAACGATGACGTCATCGTGACGTCACTTTAAACTTTGTATACTAGTACCATTATAATGTCATGAAACTTAGTGGATAGGTAAATAATGCATTATTTACCTATCCACTAAGTTTCATGACAGTCAGACCTTTCCTTATATGTATTTTGAAAAATCGCATTTTTATGACGTCATAATGATGTCAGATATTTTTTTCAAAATTTTGTGCAAATACCTTTTACCTAACAGACCAAATACACAAAGAATTTTGAATTTTGCATGTTACGTTCATGAGATATGGCTAAAAGGTAAAAAAATTCAAATATTCATATAAAATCTCCGGATGACGTCATCATGGCGTCACTTAATTTTTTTTTTACCTATAACACATCCTGGTCTAGCCACATACCAAGTTTCAACCCAATCAGACTTACAGTTCTGTAGATATAAGACTTCATAATATGCACGTAAATTTTCAAAAAACAATAAAACAAATTAGGTGATGACATCATCATGACGTCATAGTCTTGGCATAATTTTTGTATGAGGGTTTTCCTTGGCTGTAACATTGATGACGATTCCAGATCGCCAAGTTATAGAAATGGTGGCTTGAAAACGTGTACAAAGTCAATGGGCTAACACGTGTACAAAGTTAACGGGCAAAAAAAATCCCACTGCAGAAAATTGCACCTTTAGGCCAAAAAAAAAAAGTCTCCGGTTTCTGGTATGGAGCTTGCCCCAAAAGTGGTGCGGCGACGCGGCTTTCTTTTTTTTTTTACCTGTTTTTTTTTTTTTTTTTGGGCTTCAAATGTCGGCTGATGACTGCAAATGGTGCCCGACTAAACTTAGTGCAAATATATGGGAGTCCAAAGAGGCCACATAAAGCTTATTCTCGATCATAACCCCATCTAAAAACACGTTAAAATTGTGCAGCAGCAGAATTCCAGTCGAACCAGTGAGTTTGGCGGTTTTGAGACATCATCTTGTATTGAAAAAAAACCTTTTTCATTTTGCCAACGCGCATGGCTACGGCGACGCGCGCGCATACCAGAAACCGGAGACTTTTTTTTTTTTGGCCTTAGGCCTACATTTGTAATTTGCCTTTGAACTGAAACATTTTTATGAAATATTACTTGATATTCTGACCCTTAGGAATATGTTCAATAGAAATTCTCGGCTAAAGTTCAGAACTACAGTAAGATATCAGTGTTGTATAGGAAAAGACTTGTGGAAAATCCCACTGCAGAAAAACTGCACCTTTAAATACGTAACAGGGCTTTTCAGCATTATGATTTTTTATTATACGTCCTTGACTATGCGCATGCATGAATATAAAATCTGTCAAAGTTAGCCGAAAATGGGCTAAAACGGTCACTGTGATGTGGACAGGATTTGACCTCCGCAACACGTGCTCTGCAGGCTGACTGACATACGATGTATGTGCGTAACGTACGTGTATGTACATGTACATATAGACGTTCTGTGCATGTTTTAGAGCAGAGGTATTGTCAACCTGAAGTTTTAAGCGTGCGCAGGGCATGTCCGAGTTCGCGTATTGCCTCGAAGCTTTGAAATATGTTAGACCTACCCTTAAATCGACAATTAAAGTAAAAACTAACATAAAAACTGCCATGGTTGATTTTTCATGAATTTTCAAATGAAAAAAGGTCTTTTTATTATAACTTCCGGTCTGATGACGTCATTCGCCTAAAACTTTGCACACGTCTTAAGTGGGTCAAGGTCATCATATACACCAATATTTAGGCGATTCCGACTAACTTCGCCACAGACATCTATTCAAAATACATTTTTGCAAATTTTCAACCTGTCGCTAGAGGGCGCTCGAAGATTGCATGACGTCATTGGTAGATGATATGAAGAATACTTTTAGCCAAGAGACTAACACCGTTGAAAGCAAGTTCATATCTATTACCGTTTTCAAATGATAAGCCACTTCCGGTTTTGGCCTTTTTCGACCGGAAGCAAGGGTCACGTGATTTCACGCACACTGAATGAAATAAAGACCTTAACCTATTCTACCACTTGCCAGCAACAGAATGCTGCAGACGCGTACGGTTGATTTCTTATGCATTTTTAAATATTTAAAGTGTCACAATTTAATTGCCTATAAATACACACCGGATGACGTCATCATGACGTCATCATTACACAATGTTGTTTGAATTAGTGTCTTTGCTTGGACAAAGATTGGTGCAAATGAATTACTGGCAAAGAGTCAAAAATGCCCTTTGAAAATCGACATTTTTTTCTAAATTTCTGCTTAGAAAGTCTATGGGAAAAATTAAATATTCAAAAATCTATAATAAATTAGTCGATGACGTCACCATGACGTCAATCTTCGGGACACATCTTTGCTATAGGGACTATGCTTATGCAAACTTAGAATGATGTATGACAAAGATTAATGCCAAAAGAGGAGGCCAGAAAAAACGTCTATGGGGTTTAGGCGACAAAAAGAAGAAAGATGAAAAAAAAAAAAAATGAGAACAGAAAGAAAGGCTTTTTCGCAAAATTGCGAAAAAGCCAATAATAATTTGGGAGGCTAATCATCCTTACTCGCAGCTGGTATGCTGAATTGCGAAGGACGCGGCTACAACGTGGTCGAAAAGGCGCCTATGGCTGCCGGCCACATTGACCCATATATGACCACAGAGCACAGCCTGAGATCGAAAGTGTTTGATTTTTCCGGAGGGAGGAAAACCGTCGTGGCACAGGAGAGAACCAACGCAAAACTCTACTCACATGTGATCCGCGGCCAGGATTCGAACCGTGGTCACCTTGGTGAGAGGCGAGCGCTTTATGCACAGGCCACCCATGCCACCTTTTTTTCTGTGCTTCACGGTACGATTTTGGTTTAATGTGTTAACTGTGTTATCTGACTTGGGACATCTTCCATTGGTGCATCTGGGAAGAAGTACAACTTTCCGCTTCCCACATTGCGGGAGATCAGAACGAGATCTCAGACGCCCTGTCCAGGGGTTTGATAATTCCAACAGAATGGACACTCAACAAAGAGATTGTCCGTCTCCTCTTCACCAATATCGACAGACCCCACATAGACCTCTTCGCAACAGCCATCAATGTTCAAGTCCCAGTATTTTGCTCACGACGCCCAGACCCAAAAACATGGGCAGTGGACGCACTAGCGATAAAATGGAACGGGATGTTCGCGTACCCTTTCCCACCAATATCCCTGCTTCCAAAAGGTCCTAAACAAGTTGGAAAACGAGACGTGCAGAATGTTGTTAGTAGCCCCATTCTGCCCACGCCAGCCCTGGTTTCTGAGGCTGATCAGACTGCTAGTTTGCACTCTGTGGATACTACCTCAGAGAGCGGACATAATATTCCAACCACAGTCCCTTTATCTTCATCCAGCCCCCGGCACCCTCCATTTATATTGTTGGCCTCTGTACAACAGTCGTTCAGAGCAGCAGGCCTTTCTCAAGATGTTGCCACTCTCACAGCACACAGCCACCGAGCCTCTACAAGAAAAATTTACGACCCCAGACTTCGGCATAATTACAAATGGTGTGGACGGCAATCGGTTGATCCAACCTCAGCTCCTCTGACGTTGATCGGGGATTTTTTACTGTACCTTTATAATGGGGGTCTGACCGTTGCAACAGTCAAGAACTACCGGTCTGCCCTTTCCGCTATCCACAACGGATTTGAAGATGGTTCCGTAATCTCAAACAACAAAGCAGTGACCCATCTCCTCAAAGGAATGTTTGTTGAGCATCCTTCGGCTTCGGCTTCGGCTTTGCCTCCTACTTCTGAATCACTGAGAGGCAAACTCAACAAAAATATTCCAACTTTTGTCTTCATATCAACCGATTGAATGTTCCTGAAGCATAACAGGCACCAAAATGTAGCTGGAGTCCCCGAAGTCGGGGCCTAAAATGTCATTAAGCCGAAGACGAAGCCAAAGCCAATCATTTCGAAAATGCTCTAACTCCATTCAACAAAAATGCACTAGGCATGTGCATTACTTGTGACCTATCAGTCTCGTCCACTAACATACTTTTGTTATCATTAAAATAAATTAAATTAAAATTTGTTTACATGTTTTCTGAAGAACAAAAAAATAACACAACATATTCAAGAATTTTTGTTTGTCAACTTTTTTTTTCAATTTAATTTTAAAATCGTAAAATAAAGTTTAAGTTTGTTTGTGCTCCAGATCGACCTTTGAGCTTTTCAGCAAGTTTGCTGGCATGTGCAATTTTGCACATTTTGTTTACACAACATCGCATGCGTAGATTACTTCTGCTCTGTCATTTAAAACGCGATTTGTTCCAATATCGCTTTTGAAAAAGATTATGGCTCCAAATTATTCAAGCCCGAATCCTGACAGGAATTTTCGAAGTTAGCTTTCACTTCAAATGAAAATGGAGGTCATAAGCACAGCTGATCGTAATCGTCTTGGAAAGAGAACTTGCCTGTTGTTGTACGGCCCTACTTTTACTTGTGGTTGTGCCGGCATTGCTGCTGCAGCACAGCTAATTCTCACATAATATAAACATAAAAAAATTCAAAACTTTTAAAAATCATTCACAGTTATGACTTTTAATTTTTATTCATTTTTTTAAGCAAGAGTTACGTATATAACTAAAATATGGAAGAGCATAACGTTCAATAAGGCAGGTTTAGACTGTAATGACCCCCGTGTTACGTTAGGGAAGCCAAAGGGAGGGCAAATATTACCAACCTGTACAGAGAGACCACCTGTCTACAAAGACCACTTTTACCATTTCCCTTGAGCGGTCTTTCTGTACAGGTTGTACATGTACATGTATGTGGGAAAGACATGCATTATTGTAGCATATGTAGCTTGTATTGTAGTCCAGTTTGTTTCCAGTTACCTGTTTTGTATCTATGTTTTTGCAGATGCTCAGGGGTTGAACATTTCATCCTCAAAATCATTAAAAAGCTACCAGACATGGAGTTCATATTGAATGAGCGTGACTGGCCACAGAGCCCAAAGTTTGCTGATCCACTACCAGTTCTATCATTCAGTAAAGTAAGTGCAAGTTTGTTATTTAAGTACCGGTACATATGTATCCATTGTATCTTTCTATTTATACAGCAGAATTACAGGGTCACACACAGAACAAAGTTGCCCGGGTGAGACACAAGATTTTCTCCACTGCTCTCAGTCGCATGCGTGGTCCTATTTTCCAAACAACTCTCATCAGTTAGGCTACGGTACACACACATTGCACACATTGCATCCATGGGTGTTCAAGCCTACGACCTGCATAATTTTTCAACAGTGGGCTTTTGAAGTATTTTTCTCCCCATGACGCCGGTCTCATTCTCTATATCGCTCTAGTGACCACGCTTACTGCTCTACTGCGGGGGATCATGGTGTGTTACACGTGTCCACTAGTGGTCCCACTCACGGTCCCTCTCTCGGTCCCACTCAGACTCGGTAGATCAACATTGGGGTCAAATTAGATTTTCCAGTGATTACTCACGACCTAACCTGACATCAGAATCAACACACCCGTTCCAGATCACTTTCAGAGGCCTGTCTTACATCTAATCAGTAGATTGACAGCATCGTTGTTTTTCAGCGGGCTAATCTGAAGTGGGTAACCTTCTTGTTTCCCTCTCCTTCCCCAGTTGAACCCTCTCAACCTTCATGCCGCAGAGTTACAGGTACATCTTAACCTAAAGAATGGCAGCCGTGCTAAAGCCAGAGTAATAATGGAGCGCAAGGAGCGTCACTTCGTGACGGACATGAGTGCTATACAAGAAGCCATTATTATTATTATTAAACAGCCCACCCTCCCAATAGATAGAATGTGTGCAGATATCATGATTGAGATTACCTACAAATGCATTTCCAATGAGCATGTGCAAGCAAAATAACAAAATATCACCACACACACACCCTGCATGTCCAAGAAATTCCATAGTTAAATCTACCCTTTATTCTCCAGTGTGACTGCTGAGTTTAGATGCAAATTTGTTTTCCCTAGCTCAAATGCATTGCGCAATATAGGCATTCAGACCTTACATGTATTTCCCACAGTCCCGCAAACACACAATGTCTGAGCCTACTAAAACTTTGAAAAAGACATTTAAGAAGATCAAATTTAGATCTTGTGGAGGATCTTCACCCCCTTTGGAGTTCCACGTACATACATGTACAACATGCCCCTGATGCCGTCTTTGCTAGCGGGAAAACCTGTTTGGAATATGTTCTAAGTGGTCGTTGGGACAGTGGAAAACATTCACATTGTGGCACGACAGCACTACGTCGCCCGCATGGTTTTGTCAAGCCTCTTCTAGCTCTGGGGGTGGCCAATCCCATCCCCGAATTTGGCGGTGTTCCAGATCTCCTTAACGTAGCCGTAGCCGCTCTACGGTAACTCACCTACCGGAGGCTACGGTTGTTCTGGATCATTCTCTCCAATCTCCAGTTATTCGGAACAAGAATTTACAGATTTGGGGAACACTTCCATGTCACAACGAGGTAACCTGGTGATGCTACATGTAGTAGTGAGCACAATTTAACACTTTCCTCCTCCCTCACTCAAGGAACCTACTCGCACTTCATATCATAGGGAGCCTACTGATACCGGTCCTTCACTAAAATCTACGGTTCCAGTAGACAATTTCTGTTCAAAGTTTTTGGAGGAAGCTTACCAAGGTGCAGAAAAAGAAATCAGGTAGAATTCCCAGGTAATTGTTGTCGCTTTTTAAAACCAATGCAGATGACACCAGCCACTTCTTTACTGTTCCCACCATTTCCTCTGAAGTTAACGACAAACTCAGTTCTGAAAATGGTGCCAAGAAAAATGTCTTTCCTGACAAACGTACATGTACAAGTTAGATCGTCACATGCACCATGGAGCCAAAGTGTCTAGTTTCTCCATCCTATCGTACTTTCGAATGTGTTGGCACGTGTCTCTGGGGAAACATCATTAATAGTGGACCAGGATCTTCCAGTTTTTAATTTTAATTCCTGGATGACTGTTTAAGCTCATGCCTACGAGAATTTGTGGTTGGGGTAGCCATCTGTTCCTCGATACGTCAATCCTTATTTCTTGACAACCTGTTCTGGCCTTCTCAGGGATCCCAAGAGTGTGTTGATGATCTGCCTCTTCTCGGGGATGACCTGATTGATAATACATTTGATGAGGTTATGATGAAGGAAGCTAAGTGCCTGAAGACAGATGACAGAATAGACCTTCAATGCCAGTTTTCACGTAAGCCACCTTCCTTGCTGTTGCAGACAACTTGTAAAGACAATAGCAACTATCAAGGTTCCTTTCATCGCTCTTACACAACCAAGTTTCGACACCCAAGGGTCTCTTTCAGCCGGGGTTCCACCAAACCTAACTTTTGGCGTCAAACCCTCACCTCTACCAAGACAGCACCTGCCAGACCAACATACTCCTTCAAGTCAAGATGATCAACAGGATCCAAAAGGACAATGACTCCAAGGACCATCTAATTCACATTCCACTGGCACCGGGACTCGTGGCGAGTCGTCTGTTCAAATGATCTCACAAATGGACTCACAAACTCACATTACCACAGATCGTTGGGTTCTGCAGACAGTATCTCTGGGCTATCGTCTAGAATTTACCACCTCACCCCGACACCCGCACATGTTTCCTCTCTGACCCACACTGGTCCCTCTCGACACTGCTCATCGGTCTTCTCTGGAAATGGAAATTGCTTCGCTGATAAACAAGAAGGCTATAGTTCCTCTTCCTCAAAGTTCAACCATGGGATTCACCTCAACCTTCTTCCTTGCTCCAAGGAAATCCGGCAATTGGCAACCAATCATCAACCTTCGGCCTCTCAATGCCATCTCATGCGACCAAAGCACTTCCGGATGGAAACATTGGCCACTGTCTTATAAACCCTTCCTCAGGGCTGGTGGGTGACATCCTTGGATCTGAAGCTCGCATATCACCATGTACTCATACATGCTGACCGTTACAAATGTGTACAGTTCATCTACAAAACACAACCTACCAGTTCTGGTGTCTTCCTTTTGGTTTCTCCACAGTGCCCCTTGTGTTTACCAGGATTCCTAAGGTTTTAGCTGCAACACTACGTCATCAGCATATAGGCCTTTACATCTACTTGAACGATTGGCTCATCGTGGGCCCCTCTCGAACAGAAGCCCTTCAAGCCTTTTTAAAAACTACTTAACTTGCACTGGAGCTGGGCAGCGAAATATCCCCTGGTCCACTCTCAGAGCCAGTTGTTCCTCGGGGCCTCCCTCAACATGATATTGGGCAGAGCTACTTCTTCCATCGAACGTTGTGTGGCCTTGGAGGAGTGTGTAATCGGTTCCTGTCATCGGAGACACTTCCAGCTCGGGCCTGGCTTCATCTTCTGGGCTTCATGGCAAGCTTGGTAGATATTGTGCCTTGATGCAGAAATTACATGCGTCCACTTCAACTTCGCCTACTTTACCATTTTCGGCCACGAAAGGATGACATCTACAAATCTGTTCTGATAAATCTGATGATTCGATCCCATCTCAAATTGTGCCTCATTTCAGGATCTTCTTTGCAGTTCACCATTCCCACAACCCTTCCCATCACTGACTCTGACCACAGATGCATCAAACTCGGACTGGAGTGCTCATCTGGGAGATGTTTTCCTAGACATGCTAGAAGGAATGTGCACTGGAGCTGGGCTTCATGTACAATGTACCGTGTAATGTGTATAACGGAGCACCATATGCATGGGGACCATGAAGTTAGACTTAAAGCATGCGTCAAATCAGGGCACCGTGCAAATGAAGTGGGATATCAGGTTCATTTTGTCTTAATACATGCCACGAGTGTCGGTTACGAATTGCGACAACGAAATAAACCTACTTGTGTTCAAGACTACTTAGGCAACTGCATGCATGTGCATGGTATTATCCATCTGCGTGCAACAAACATGACTGCCTGCACGTCTGGAAAGCACAAGTTGAGAGTTCAATTTTTTTTTCTATCAAAAACGACTGAAATTTCTGAGTAAACTTCATGAATAACAGGAGTCATTACACCTACGTCAAGACAAAAGTTATTGTTTTTTAGAGCAAGCTGATACTTATTATTACCGTTTAGAATGGACTAGTTTTACGTGTTTCCAGGTGGATTCCCTATACGTACGGGAATGCCAGTGGGCCGTGTTGTTGCAAAGGTACTGTATACGGACTGCAGCTGCATTCCGCCATCAGTGAACTGGACACTCGTTATGTTTTTTATTGAATGGAAAATCAATATTTTAAGATCGAAAATTGGGGTGGGTGGATGGGGCAAAACAATTTGGAAAAAACTCCAAATTTAAAACCATTGAAAATTTTGAATGGCCCCTAACATGTTGAAAATGCTATCAATAGAAAGTGCTGCACATGCTGGATTTGAATGAACTGGATAACGTCTCACTGTCCTCAAGATCATGTAATTGCAATTTTGCTCTATCTGAAATGAAAAACGAATACATAAAATTAATTTAATATACGAATGTAAAGGAAAAACAAACAAGGTTTCAAGGTTTCTTTGTTAGAGTAGCTCATGTTTAGAAGTTAATCAATAACTGAGCGTTCAGCTCTTCACCAGAATAATTAGGTGTTGAGCCTTCAGCCCAACACCTATTGTTGTTGTATGAATTTACTATAATTTTTTTTTTTATTCTTCAAGACACGTTCTCCAGAACTGTTTGTCAAAATGAAAACATATATGAACTTCAATTGTCAATACATGAATGCACAACCCACTGAAGATGTGCTTTTTGCAATTACGTCATCATGATGTCATCATGGGTCACATGACGTCACTTCAAAAAATAATAAATTTAATCTTTGAAATTCAATATAAAATCAACCGTTAGAGACAACAGTTTGAATTCTGCGAGAATCGACATGATAGTATATGAGCTGCATTTTATCTTGTGTGCGTCAAATCACGTGACCCTTCCTTCCGGTCGAAACCGGAAGTGCCTAATAATTTGAAAGCGAAAAAAGATATGAACTTGCTGTCAACGATGTTAGTCAAAAAAATATGATCGGTGACGCCATGAAGTTTTCAAGCGCCCTCTAGCAGCAGGTTAAAAAATGTCCAAAACGCATTTTCAGTTGATGTCTGCGGGAAAATTTGCTGTAATCGCTTCAGAACTAATATATATGATTACCTCAATGCAGACAAAAGACCCTGTGCTCGAAAAAAAAACCGATTACGTCATCCGTCCGGAAGTTAGACTAATAAAAAGACCTCCTTTTTTTTGAAAATTCCTGAAAAATCAACCCTGACAGATTTAATCTCGATTTGTGCTTTAAATGGCACTTTAATAATAATAGGTCTAAAACTTCCCCAGGTTTCGTTTCAATAAGTAAACTTGGAAATGTCCTGCAGCCCTCTTGAAATTTGAAGTTGAAAACGCCTATGCCTTGAAACGTTCATTTAATGCCACGTTCATTGTGTGTACAGAAAATGGGGATGATTGCGTACAAAGGGAAATTCCTGAAAAACAGTGTGCCATTAATGATTGTGTACAAAAGGGAGTTCCCCGCGCTCGCTTCTTGAGTTACTGGTTTATGTCAACAATTGAGCTACATGTAACGGCTGTTGGGTGGACCAATGTATTTTAAGTGTTTACCAGTGTTTTGTACACGTTTATTTGACAACTGCTTAACGCAAGCACATTTTTTACTCCTAATGACGTCATATGATACTCAAAAATTGGGCTGGCAAAAGCGCCCAACTGGGCCCTTTTTTTAAATTGGGCGCCTTTTTCTGAAAACATGCGCATTGGGGTAAAGAGGGTATATCTTGTATTGCGCCAATGGTGTGCGACCTTTACTTTAAGAGATACCAGTATGAGCTATTTAATGGGTTTTTGTAGCAATTGTACTGGATAAGTTTACAATACAGTACAGCAGCATACGGGCGTGCAGATCCTCCTCACCTGACTCTTTTTAACTATCCTCTGTATAATTACTACACGCGCAATTGTTCAACCCTCAACCATCAACAATCAACAATTAACATCAACAATCAACGTCAACATCAACAATGACCCAAGTTGGACCGTGTGGTTGTTCCTACAACCTCTAGTTTTTATAAATTCTTTTGCAATTCCCTTTTCATGCTTAATTTGTCATTTGAAAGCCACCTTATTGATGTAGATTCTGTCATTAAGCAGTACAGTTATATTAACACAATAACTGCAAAATAAAATTTCAAGCATAAAGAAATAAATAGTGTCCTAGTAGTAGGCAAATATACATGTCCATGTATGAACATAAAGACTTACCAGTTGTATAGTGTACAAAGTCATGACAAATAGCTTGAGAGTGTTGACTGTTGACAATTCTTGACAGCGATCTTTCCATAGACTTCCATCCAGATATTGGTCCAGTACACAAGTATTGTGCATGTCATGTACAGGTTAAGTGTGTGCATGAACAATAAATTATTTCCAAAGGCCATGTCAGCGAGCATTTCCACAATTTTGACCCAGTTTTATACAGTTTTTGTATGGAGGTGGTTCCCCATACCCCACGGATTGATGCCCATGATAATTAAGTTACAGTACTGGAATAAAACAAACGTAAACTTGAACTTCTTACAATTTTTGCGAGACCTGCAAGGCAAAAGTCGATTCAATCAAGTTGGTTAAACCATAATTAATAAAGCAAGGCCAAACAGCCAACAACCGCCAATGGAATTCGTTATTCCAACCTAATGTAGTTCAACTTAAGATTGCGATATTTGAAGCAATGCATCGATCCTTCGTTGATCCCAAAACATGCCCCCGAAATTATAAGGCGACACTGAATTATACGCGGCGAGCAGCAAACTCACAACACTCAGCCGGCCATGCATGGGATCGGTGGAAGCAACAGCACTCTATCATGTCACACGCTTGTACTTAACATAGCGAGACTCCACCATAGACCCAACCTTTTTTCCAGGGTGTCAAGTAGGCTGCAGTACGCGTTGACATCAACGGTTTTACGCATAGCCCAGAAGTACGCAGTGCAGGCTTTAGATTGGTCCGATGCAGACCGAGCAAGTATACTAATGTGTGGTCCTTCTAAGTATTCATGGCACTAGGCGCAGGGGCGGCAAG